GTAAACTTGTCCAACCACTCTGGAAATCATTATGGAGGTCCCACAACAGAGTACAAATAGAGCTCTCGTTTGACCCAGCAATCACACTTTTGAGCATTTACCCAAATGATCACAAACAAGGCTATACAAAAGCTGCCAGCACAACTATGTTTATCGCAGCATTATTTACCATAGCTAAGATATGGAACCAACCCCTCAGTAGATGAATGGATCAAAAAAATATAATACACACACACACACACACACACACACACACACACACACACACACACACACACACACACACACTGGAATATTATGCCTCCATCAGAAAGAATGAGACCAGCTACTTTGTTAGGAAATGGAAAGACTTGGAAAAAATTGTATTAAGTGAAGTAAACCAGTCCAAACAAACATAGGTTCCATGGTTTCCCTTATTTTCAATAAATAGTATATACCTAGGGTGAGCAGAAAAAGTCAAAAGCTATGTAAATATGACCATATAACCTGATGCTAAGTGAAATGAACCCCAAGATATGGATACTATTTTTCTTGCTGTTTTTTAATGTATTTATAATACAGTATGTGATTTTTTGTGTTTCTTTTATATTTTCTTTCCCCATTGTATAGCCCTGTTTTCCCCATATTTAATTCCAGTGCCTGCATCTTCTTTATAATTTTTTTCTAATTTGGGGAAGGGAAATAAGAAAAAGCTGAAATAAGAATACAGGTTGACCCTCTGTAACAATGAGATGTACAAGACACCATGTTGAAAACAAAGTTTTCAAATTGATGTGGGGGGTTGGGAGAGCAGGGTGGGAAGGACGCTAGTGGAAGCAGGGTAGGAAGGGATGTTAGGGGACAAACAAAGGAGGAGGTAACAATGCTCGATAGGAAATGTACTCATTAAGTTAGTCATGTAACTGTAACCCGTGAGTACACTACCTTTACAATAAAAATATATACTAAAATAGATGTGAACCAATAATTTATAAAGTAATATAATTTATTTGTTCATAGAGGTCTGTGTCCTTGTGTTTGTGTATGTATTTGTAATGTTTGGGGGCAAAATATTTATTTCATTTTGTCCATGACAACATATATGCAATTGAAATATAGTTGTAATGGTCATGTCCTTTTCTTACATCCGTTATTTTGTGTTACAAATATTTACCTCATTATGTTTAATAGTAACAAGGTTCATAACTATTTATTTGTGGCTGGACATGGTAACTCATGCCTGTAATCCCAACTAAACTGGAGACAGAGATTTTAAGTTAGTGAGTAAAACCCTGGAAGGCAGTGAGATCTATCTCAAAAGCACACTGAGGCAGGTGGTGCAAATTTCTGTAGCTATGCAGGAGATGAATTTAGAAGGATTTTAACAGAAGGCCAAGCTGGGTAAAATCACAAGATGTTCTCTGAAAACAAACTAAACCAAAAAACTATGGTGGAGTGGCTTAAGTTGTAGACTCTAATAAGCAGGAAAACTTGAGTTCAAACACCAATAGAACCAAAAGTATTGTTTGAAATTCATTGTTTATCATTTACTACTATGCATATAATATCCTCAAAACAATTCATGTTTTCAATGCCTTCTATTGCTTGTAAATTCTTTTTTTTTATTTTGGCGCTAGTCCATGGTCTTGAACTCCTGCTCATTCTGGCTTGGATTTTTCACTCAATGTTGGTATATTTGCCCTTGAGTCACACCTCCAGTTCTGGCTTTTAATAGGAGATAAGAGTTACAAGGATTTAATCCAAAGATGCTTGAAAAATACTAAAGTGCTCTCTTCCCATGGCTGTCACGATAAATCTCTTTTATTCTGCCCTTCACTATGTCTGTACTTGGCATTTGGGAGTGAGTAGCCAGACCTAATATAGCAAGGACTCTGCACTTTGAGAGGGAGGGTGGTTAAAATCTGGTTTCAAAATGATCTGTGTCCAGCAAGGAGCTGTGCCTTTCATTCTGTTAGACTGAGAAACAGGGAGACACAAGCTTAGTCCATAGTTTACTTAACTTTGCATCCACTGATTTGATATTTCAATTGATATATCAATGTTGAACTGTAAGTTATCTTAACTGTATTTGCACAGAAACTTTCCTGTGTAAGTCATTACAGTTTTTATTCTCTGTGTCTTACAGTTCTTTTTGACAGTACTAGAGTTTGAACTAATGGCCTTAGGCCTGGTAGGCCAGCACTCTTATCCATTGAGCCACACTCCCACTTGTTTTTGCCATAATTTATTGTTCAGATATTATCAGGCGTATATGAAAAATGCCTGAGCTGGCCATAGACTGAGATCTTTCTACTTCTACCTCCTATATATCCAAAATTATAAGTATGCATCACTATGCCTGGACTTCTCATATTCTTCTTATGTGTTTTTGACATGCCATGGCAGTGGCCATGGCATGTGCACTTGACATGTGCAACTTTAGAAGCATAGACTTACATGAGTTTCACCCAAAGTTATTTGTAGTGAAATTGTTCTTTAATATAACATTAGACGAAATCCAAGGAAAATTTGGGGAATTAAGATGAAAAATCTTATCAACCAGTTCCTATAATCCTAAGAAACAGAGACACTAAAACTAAGTAACCACATAAGCACTTACCTGTTATGAACAAAAGAATCACAGTGATCTCAGGCTCTCTGCTACTTAGCTGGCTGAAACCATGTCTATGTGAAACGTACCTTGGGTTTTTCCTGCTCCTTCAAGTTGTGCTCATTGGATGGCCATGCATGTCTAATTGGACTGTGTGAGCAACCCTTTGATTTAGCTTAAGTTCTCTGGCTCTTGATGACCTCCTTGTCCATCTTCTAGTTTCCCAATAGAAATTAATCTCTCCTTTTCCATCTACAGCATGTGTCTCAAGAAAGCAGTTCCATTTGTACCATTTCTATTGCATGTATGTCTTTATAGACTCAGAGTGAAGTGCCCATCCATAGCCACAGTCCAGCTGTTACACTGTGAGACTAAGGTCAAATGATATGCCTCAGGGGCCCTGCCCTCCCATGCTTAATGGAGTGTGGCATCAGTTAAGTTCCTTAACTGTCTGTTTCAGTGTCCTTATTTGTGTAACTGTTACAGTATTGTTAACTGCTTTGCAGTATCTTTCTCTGGTATTTTGCCTGCTTCCGTCCATGGCCCAATTGCTTCCTTAGCTAATTTCACTGACAGGATCATATATCTCATAAATCTAAATATTTTCTTCAATGGCAACAAATCCCTGAGGCCTTTAATCATACTACATCTCCACCCGGTCATTCTATTTACTCTTATATCCTCTGTTAGAACTTAGCCTGTAAAAGAGAGAATGTCCCATGATTTGTCATTATTATTTGCTCTTAATTCACCTTTTTGGTTTCCTTTCTCCCAATACTTAACTCATGATATTCAACACTGGAAAATTTTTAACACTCACCTAGAAACTCTTTCAGAATGATTTTTCCTCCAGTTATTCCTTCAGAATGGTGAGATATATATCCAAGTAAAAGTTATAATTAGTAAGACAATGTTTTACAAAACAGAAGAGTTTACCTATGCATTGGTAAAGATTAATTTATAAGTCCTAAGAAGAAACATGAATGGCATAAAAGAGAATAAGACCACAATATGACAGTAATAATCACTAGACAATATGTTGGAAATGAACTTTACACTTGCAGGGGGTGGGGATAGGAGGAGGGACAGAATGGAAGAAAATGAGGGAGCGGGTAAGTAACACTGTTCAAAAGGAAATGTACTCATGAACATACTTGTGTAACTGTAACCCCTCTGCATATCATCCACTTGTACAATAAAAATTTTAAAAAATAAAGCAGAAAATTAGAACAGAACAATCGTAAGGGATGCCCAAGAATCTAATGATTAATAATACATCCTATATACAATATTTTACATCATATACAATGATATAGTGTATATTTAATTATCACATACTATATCTTACACATAAAGTATATGTACAAACATATGACACATAAATTGTGTACATGTGTTCACTTGGAACCCTGAGAATTATAGAGATTCCGACTAAAAAAGTTCTGCTGTATCTTGAGGTTTCTCCATCATTCTTTTTGTAAATGAATGACTTTAGTGTTTTTACTATAAGTGTCAAAGATTCCTAGATTTTTTAGATTGAAACAGAGATTTATTGATGTAGGAATACTTCTGTGAATCTTGGTGGGAGCAGTTGAGGAGGACAGAGGGCATAAACACAGGAAACTCATCACCTTCACCTCACCTTGAAGTGTTCAGATGACAGGACAGGATGGCTGGACCTCTAGTGGGATTGCTGTCCTTTGAATTCAGTGCTCTCCTGGCAATGACAGCTTGACTAATAAGTGAATCTGGAATTTAGGAAAAGAAATAGAGTAAATTTATCCTTCCTTTGACCCTCCTTTTCTCTACCTACATCCACCCCCATCCATCTCTCTCCCTACATCCTAGCTTTTCTTCTCTCTATCTCTCTCATTTTCCTTCTCTTACTTCTCAGGTAATCTATCAGGTTGAAAATATTCCACAATAGAAGACTATTTTAAAATTAAATAATGATATCTATAGTTCATTATTCTAATTGGTCTAAAGAAAAAACTCTATGTTGTCTCTATACTAGTTGAAAAAATGCTTTTAAAGGTTTCAGCAGCTACTCATGATATATCTTCAGCCAGAAATAATGAAAAATAGCTATTTGTTAAACATGATCAGCAAAACTCTACAACAAAAACTGTACTCATTAATATGCTATTTAACATTTTACCACTCAACTTCTATTAAAGACAAAAATGTCACAAGCAGTTTCTGTATCCAGATTTATATTGAAATCCTCCAAATTATATTAGAAAAATTATCATCAAAACCAAAACCAAAATCAAACGGAAAAAATACAAAAGGCATGAAGCAGATAAATGAAGTGACAAAAATGTCTTTATTTGCTGAGAAACTTTATGTACAAAGTTTTCCAAAATCTTAAAATAAAATATATTAAATAATAACATAATAGTGCCTTTGCCAATATTTTGAATAGCTGTTCATAATTAAAAGACAAATAAATATGAAGTATTTCCATATTTATAGTTTGGACTTACTTTAGTATTTCAATTTCCAGCCCAGCACCAATAGCTGAAGCCTACAATCACATTTACTCAAACATTTCAGACCTTGAGAACTGCTGTTCCAGGTAAGCATGGGCAGAATTCCTATGTTCCTAGGACAGATCCTGCAAGTGGAAACATGAGGAAAGTAGCTGGGGCAGCCCAGGCTCACACTTCTACTTCTTGGAGGTTTATGTTATGGCTTGTATCACTGTGGGTGGGTTATCATAATCCTGTTGACAGTAATAAGTGGCAATGTCTTCAGGCTGCAGGCTGCTGATGGTAAGAGTGAACTCTGTCCCAAGTCCACTGCCACTAAATCTAGAGGGAATTCCAGATTGTAACCCGTTTGCACCATAGATCAGGAGTTTATGTGCTTTCCCTGGTTTCTGTTGGTACCAGCTTAACTCATTGCTAATATACTGACTGGCCTGACATTTGATGGTGACTGTGTCTCCAGGAGATGCAGACAGAGTGGATGGAGACTGGGTCATCTGGATGTCACATCTGGTACCTGGCATTGGAATAGTAATAAATACATACATGGAATCAATAAATCAATAAATAATACATAGAACCAAGCATGCTATAAGAAAGCTTAATTAATAGCCAAGTATCAGTGACTACAACACATGGAGAAAATCCTCATGATTGTCTTTCCTTACTTGGAATCCAGAGCAGCAGGAGACCCAGGAGCTGAGTGAGGACCCTCATGTCCACGCTGTGTTCTGACTGAGACTGATGCCTGCATCTGGGGTGAACAGCCTATTAAGAAGTTATCAGGGTGGTGACTGTGCTGTGGGCTCATGCAAATCAGTAGGGGTTTGGATTTGTACAGCTGCAAATCTGACTCTCTTAGTAACTGGGCCTAGACACCATCCTCGCTGTCTGTATGTCCACAGAGAAAGAGATTACATCTGTTATCAAGCCAGTACAGATGCACCTGTAGAAATAACTTGAAGCAAATTTGGATATAGTTTTTTAATGTCACATTAGAAACAGTGATATTTCTTCATTTGCAAAAAATGCAAGTACAGGGTTAGAATTATGTTTAATGAAGTAAAGCTTAGAGACATAAAGCACACATGATTTCTCTTATATGTAGAAGCTAGTTCAAATGTATTAAGGCATATATAAACACATAGAGGAGCATATGCAAGGGTAACAAATATATTAACCAAAGTATGGCATTTACATGGGAGAATTCCAATGACGTAACTCTTTAGATAAACTAACACAGTTCAATAAAATGAATACTGACACTTGAAAGATGTGGAGGCGAGGTCAAAGGGAGTAGTAGATGAATGTAGCGAGGAAAGTAGGGAGAATGCAGTCATAAACTCCAATGGAGATCCTGAGAAACTAAGAAAGTTGAGGGGAGATATTAAGGAGAATAATAAAAGGAGTGATGTTATGACATCAGTCAAGCTGCATTGTACTTAGAAACTAAAAGTACTTTGTACTACTACTTAAAGATAATACTACTTAACATAATGAATAAGCTATTAAATTTTCTGACATTTTGTAAAGAAGAATGCTCACTTTTTGGGGCTGGGAAGGTGGCTCAGTGGTAGAGCGCTTGCCTTGCATGCCTGAGGTCCTGGGTTCAATTCCTCAGCAACACAAAACAAAAAGAAAAAAGTCAGAAGTGGCACTGTGGCTCAGGTGGTAGAGCGCTAGCCTTGACCTGAAGAGCTGAGGGACAGCGCCCAGGCCCAGAGTTCAGGCCCCACAACCAGACCCCCCCCCCCAAAAAAAAGAATGCTCAATTTACAGAAGATATGTAATCCACAAAATGTCATATGAAAATCAACACATGAAAGAAATGGCTGTTCAGTGTGTTTTATACCATTTGAGCTTCCAGAAACACCTTCATGACTGCTCAATGATCCATTACTTCAAATATGGAAAGGGATTCTTATAAAAGAATGGAGGGATTTTTATGTTAACATCATACATCTGTATCTGTTCTTATCTCAAGACTGGCAACAGAAGCCTCTACCTTCCCAAATTCCTCCTCTAATCAGGCTACATGCTCTGACTGAGCCTCTTTTACACAGATCTTTTTTAAAGGTCTATAGCTAGTGGTGCTGAAAAGGACAGACCATGTCAATCATGAGAGATTTTCTTCCATTTATTTTGAAGAGCCTCTGTGAGTGAAATTGCAATTAAGGCATCAAACAGAGACTTACCTTTCAACTCAATTGTGGGTAGAGCAGACCCTGAATATCTCCTTACTAAGTATGACTCCTCATTCTGCTTTTAGTTCATTGTACACAAGGCACCAGGACTTGCACCCCAAGTGGCTCTGCGGTCACATTCAGGAAATTGCACCATCTTCCACTCTTCCTCAGTGCTTCCCATTCACCTGCTGCTTCTGCACAAAAACAAGATGAGATCTGTTAGATGTGGAGATCTGTTAGCTCCCCAGAAGCCTGGGGAAATTAAGCCCCCAGGGCTGTCAGAACTGTTCCTGACATGGGCATGAATGACCTAGTCCAGCACTCCATACAGGCTATACAGGCTCTCCTAATTCTCAATGTTCCAAACCCAATAAAAAACTTCACCCACCACAATATGTTATCTTAGAATAGTCATCATTTCAAAATAAACATATACTGTATAAATTAATTTTTAATTTATCCTATAACAACTATGTAGATGAAAAGATCTGAATATTGGATAGAAACACTGGATAAAAATGATTCTTTTAAGTACAATATCTATCACTGAATAGTACTAGGAATTATTTAACCACTATATACAATTTTGAGGATGAAAAAATAATAATCGTTTCTTCAATTATACTTTTATTTCTGTTTTCATCTTTTGAGTAACTATATAATCTGTTCTCACTGTAATTAAGTAAAGATATGAAATCTATGGCTGGGAAGGTGGCTCAGTGGTAGAGCACTTGTCTTGCACGCATGAGGCCCTGGGTTCGATTACTCAGCACCACATAAGCAAAAAGAAAAAAGCCGGAAGTGGCGCTGTGGCTCAAGTGGTGGAGCGCTAGCCTTGTGCTGACGAGCTGAGGGACAGCGCCCAGGCCAGAGTTCATGCCCCACGACCAGATCCCCCACCAAAAACAAATGCAAATCAAAACATCATTGACATTCCACCTCACCTCAGTTAGAATGGCTATAATCAAGAACGCTAATAACAACAGATGCTGGAGGGATGTGAACGGAAGGGAACCTTACTGCATTGTTGGTGGGAGTGTAAACTTATTCAACCACTTTGGAAAGTGGTATGGAGGTTCCTCAGAAGACTTCACATAGAACTCCTCTATGACCCAGCAATCCCACTTTTGGGCATTTACCCAAATGATCACAAACAAGACCACACTAAAGCTACCAGCACAACTGTTTATTGCAGCATTATTTACCATAGCTAAGATATGGAACCAACCCAGATGCTCCTCAGTAGATGAATGGATCAAGAAAATGTGGTATATATATACACAATGGAATTCTATGCCTCCATCAGAAAGAATGACATTGCCCCATTTGTTAGGAAATGAAAAGACTTGGAAAAAATTATATTAAGTGAAGTAAGCCAGGTCCAAAGAAACATAGGTCCCAAGGTTTCCCTTATTTGCGATAACTAGTTTTTACTGTATTTGATGTCGGTATAATTTATGGAAGGGAAGGAAAAAAAACCAAAATGTTTAAATAAGGATACAGGTCGACCCATTGTAACAATGAGATATAGAAGACACTATATTGAAAAATGAACTTTACAAATTACAGGTTGAAGGTGGTAGTGTAGTTGTGGAGGTGGGAGGGAAGGGATGGTAGGGGAAAAAAGGAGGAGGCAACAATGCTTGATAAGAAACGTACTCATTACCTTGCTCATGTAACTGTAGCCCCTCTGTACAGTATTTTCACAATAAAAAACTAATTTAAAAATATTCAAACACCATTTTATAATGACATCAAAATGTTATAACTGAATTAAAGATCATATAGAATGAACTCCAAAAAATACAATTAAAAAGGCACAGAGATGAAAGCAAGAGATGAGAAATCTTTATCTTCAGATAGGACAGCTAATGATTGCATTAATCTTTTAGACTAACAACTTCCTAAAGAATATTCTGCAATGGCAACGTCTGAGCAGTGATATCTGGCAGTCTCTAGTCACATATGCTCATTGAGCACTTGAAATGGAATGGATGAAACAGAAGTGTTTAGTTTATAATCTAACTAAAATGTAAATTTAAATAGCCGTATGTGGCTCGCATTTACTCTATCCGGGGGCACATGTTAGCAGTTACATCATCAGTAACACCACAGCACAGCCAGGCTAGTGATTGCTAGCACAGAGTTTGAATCATAGAGTGAAGCACCTTCACTTCCAGATTCTCCTGGTGAAGGTGATATTGTCAGACCCATAGCCATGCAACTGTGAGTGGACATGGTTCAGAAGATGGATAGTTGGTAATTTATAGCTTAAATTGTGCACTTTTATGTTTGAAACACTTTTAGTAATTTTGGTTTTAAGTTTTGTTAAATTCATTGGACATATTGGTGTTGGCAATTCTCATAATCTGAGAAAATTTTCAGCTCATATTCGATTTTAATATTTATTTCAGGAATAAAAGTGCTTATGATTTTGATTTGTATGCCAAAAAGTATTCATATATATATTTTGAAGCAAGCCAAAAGGTTTTTGGTATTTTTCAGTATCATCTGACTATAGTTATGACAGAATCTTTCCCAGAGCTCAAGTTTTCCTCCTTCTAAATACTTCCTCAGTCTCACAGATACTTACTTTCCATGTCCATCCTGGTGGCCACACCTGTACAATGACATGTGCACACAAACACTTGGGAAGCAGGGGACACCAGAGCTTACCTCCCTACACCTGTCCCTCCTCATCTCCCTTTGTTCTTACATGGATGCAGAGCATCATCAGTTGTGAGTGCTGAGCAGAGAATCTCACTTTATGAGGGGAAGTGAAGAGGCTTGATAATTCAAGATAAGGTTATGCTGATGGCTCACATCTATAATCCTAGCTATTCAGGAAGCTAAGATCTAAGGATAACGGTTTGAATCTAGTGTGGACAGCAAAAGCTAAGAGACTCTTATGTCCAACTGATCAGCAAAAGTCTGAAAGGAATGGAGCTATGGCTCTAGTAGTAGAGCATCTGTGAAAAAGCTAGAAACAGCTTCTAGGCCCTAAGCTCAAGCCCTAGTACTTGTGCTTTTTGTGCATTTCACTCACCATTTCGAGAAGCAGATCTCCCAGAACTACTTTTCCTTCCATGGGTTCCTGATGAGTTATTTCATTTTGGGATTTGTATAGTCATTGAAAGAACAGATGTAATATTTTTTAAGTCAATAATCAGATTCCTGAAAAGAGGCAAGGACTGGGGAAACACTAGGGCCATAATTGGGTCAGGTGAGAGGATCAAGAAAAGTTTCCTATCTCTTCCATCTCTGAGGTCAGAGCATCACAAGGTGATGACTCCTACACTGGTACGATATCTTCTGTCAGGTCCTCCAAACTCAAACTACTGCTTCAGTTCAGAGAATGTGTTATGCTGCTCCCCAGACAAGCTTTGAAATAGGACAGCTGGGCCAAGCCCTACAGAGATGTTTTTGTTAAGGACTGTATCACTGTGGGAGGAGTATCTATATCTTGCATGCAGTAATAAATCCCAATATCTTCAGCCTCCACCCTGCTGATTTGCAGTGTGAAATCTGTGCCTGACCCACTGCCACTGAATCTTTCTGGGACCCCAGATGCTCGGTTGGAAGCCCAATAGATCAGAAGTTTTGGAGACTGGCCAGGCTTCTGCAAGTACCAATACAGAAGGCTATCTCCATCGCTGTCTATGAGGCTCTGACTAGACCTGCAGGAGAGGGAGACAGTCTCTCCCAGGGTGACAGGCTGGGAGAGTGGAGTCTGAGTCATTACAATATCGCCACTGGATCCTGAAATTAAAATAAATGAAAAGTACAAGGTTATATGTGGTATGTATTTTTTTTCTGTGGTTATATATTAATTCCCAATCATTTTCATGGTTTTTCCTTCTGTCCTAAAACATTCAATATTTCAAAATTTATACAAATATTAAAAAGCATAAATGAGGTTCTATATCTCATGTAGGCTACCCACTGCACAGATGTCATAGTTGTCACCAAAGCTCAGGACCTGTTTCCATCTAGAATGTTCATCACTCTCATATAATTAACTTCACCTGCCCCATTCTAGAGGACAAGTTCTGTGCATCTAAACCATGAACAGAATATAAACAAGAAGCAGTGGCCCTGAGGGCTCACCCTCAACCCCCTTTTCCATCCTCATCTCCCTCTGCCCTTACCAGTGATCCAGAACATTAGAAGACCCAGAACACAAGAACAGAGCCTCATTTTAGCTGGGAATCCAGGAGATTTGATCAGTCAAGTCAAGGTCAAGATGAGCCTTTATGTCAAACTAGAGCTGGAAAGTCCTCCTCAGGGAACACTATGCAAATCAGCAGGTGGGTGCAGCAGTGTGAGAAGAACAAAGCAGAGGGCAAGAGCATCTTTCTGGTGAAGAAAGTGACTTAAATTTCTTCTGTGTTTGACGAAAAGACCCACAACTACCAGGCTGGCTCCAGCAGTGGGTAGAAGGACCCCTCTGCCCTGATGCCTGGATCTGCAGGGAGGATGTGGTGTACTTGACCCTGTCAACCTAAAACACTAGGGGCCCAATTCAATTGAAATGTGTGTCCAGGAGAGTGTTGGTGAAGGGTCAATTTTTTTATTTTTTGGGTCCGGTCGTGGGGCCTGAACTCGGCCTGGGCGCTGTCCCTCAGCTCTTCAGCTCTAGGCTAGTGCTCTACCACTTGAGCCATAGCACCACTTCCATCTTTTTTCTTTTTGCTTATGTGGTGCTGAGGAATCGAACCCAGGGCCTCAGGCATGCAAGGCAAGCGCTCTACCACTGAGCCACCTTCCCAGCCCCTATGAAGGGTCAATTTGATTGGCCCTCTTCTAGTTATTCTAGAGAAAGATACTGTACACAGACTTCAACTGTCATCATTTCTCAAGAATTCTACCCAGGGCTGGGAAGGTGGCTCAGTGGTAGAGCATTGCTTTGCACGCAAGAAGCCTGAGTTTGATTCCTCAGTACCACATAAGCAGAAAAAAAAAAGCCAGAAGTGGCACCGTGGCTCAAGGGGTAGAGTGCTAGCCTTGAGCTGAAGAGCTGAGGGACAGTGCACAGGGCCAGAGTTCAGGCCCCACGACCAGACAAATAAAATGAAATAAAAGAGTTCTACCCAGTACCACTGTGGTTTGAACTAGTTAAGGAAATCAAATTCCTACTTCAGTTAATCTGACATCACTGAAACAAGGTTAACTTTTGATGATCAAGTTATCAACAACTGTTAGAGATGTTCTTCATAAGCCAGACACTGGTGGCTCATGTCTGTAATCCTAGCTACTCCGGAGGCTGTGTTCTGAGGATATGGTTCAAAGCCAGTCCAGGCTGAAAATTCCCTTTGTGACTCTTATCTCCAATTAATCATTCAGAAATTGGATGTGGTGCTGTGGCTGAAAGGGGTATAGTGTTAGCCTTGGCCAAAAGATCTCAGGATCAGTGCCCAGGTCCTGAGTTCAATCGCTACAAGTGATAAACAAAATAAGGTTCTTTATATAGGGCCTAATAAATTGAGTTCCTTATGATCACTTGTGTCAAAACAAAGTAACTCAGAGGATAAAATTCTCCTTACAAAAGGTAAACTAATAACATTTCTAAATGAAAGAGAAAAATGGCAGAAAAAAACTGAATTTTACATAGTCATTTTCATAATCAGTAAATATGGGATGACACTTCTTCAGCATAACTCTTCAGACTAACAGCAGCATTCTTAATATTGCTCTCTCTCTTCTATAAGAAAAAATGAACAAGAACGCCAGTTACATTCAGTTAGGTAGTCACACTATTACAACATCTATTTTTTAATCTTTCTACAGAGTCTGCTCCTGGAAAAGTTATTAACTCTGTATTAGACCCTCCTTTTCCTGCCTGCATTCCATGTGGGCAGCCACAGCCAGGATTCCACACCTCATAGCAGGACCCAGCAAGAGCTGTTTTCATGTCTCAGTATAACAAACACTCAAGATTAAGTCTTCTCTTAAGCTTCATCACGATCTACTAAGAAACTGAATGCTGGTTCAGAGTTGTACAGAGGAATTTATATTCCACTTACACCATCCAGAGCCTGAAGTACATACATATCAGTTTCTGTTTGCCACTGTTTGTGACATTTTCTTATGGGTTACACAAAAATTTCTTCTATTAAAATTTATTATAGGAATTTTTATTGTGATTAAGTGATTACATAAATTTCACAAATTTCACAGGTTTGTGATACTTATAGTTAAAAACACATTCTAACTTTGTGGGGTAAATTATATTTATCATCATTTATAAAGTCTGTGAATTCTATGAGCTTTGACAATACACTTATTTCTTCCACATGGGGTTATATATACATTTCTTTCCTTTTGTTTAGTGTCAGCTGTTCCCTCTTCCCTGCTCATTCCCTCCCTACCATTGCTGCCATTGAGTTGCTTAGTTCGTTTGATCAATGTCCAGTGTAGCTGATAGGTCCCACTGTTGTATGTTTTCCCCTATTTCCCTCTGTTTCTTTGTCCTCTTCCTAGTTTCCCTCTAATGTGCACATATATACCATATATATGATATATGTTATTTTTTAATAAGTTTTTTATTGTGAAAATACCGTACAGAGGGGTTACAATTACATGATCAAGCTAATCAGTACATTTCTTATCAAGCATTGTTGCCTCCTCCTTTGTTTCCCCTTCACATCCCTTCTCATTTCCCACCCCCTATCTCCCCATCCCCTCCAACCTCACTTACCCACCCCAGCACCAATGCTATAAGGTTCATTGTTCAAAATAATGTCTTGTACATCTGATTCTTGCAATGCGTCCACCTGTATCCCTATTTGAACAATTTGTTTTTCCCTTCCCCTCCCCAAATTATATCAACATCAAATACAGTAAAAACAGGGGTTATGCCATGTGGAAGGGACATATAAAGCAACAAAGAAATCTTGTAAATATATTATTTGCAAATTATTTCATTTATTCCTTTGCTGCTTGCTTGTGCAAAGAGAATGAGCAAACTCTTAGAGACACAAAACTGGAAGAAAGTTCCAAACTGAAATAAAATATCAGTCACATGGAAGGACAGATTAATAACACAGGTAATTTCCCAATAGGTTGTAACTTCAATCCTGTACATGAGTTTTTAATGATATAACTCAAAAGAAATACTGAAATCTTACCCTGTGATTTTCCCCCCGGCAAAGATGTGCAACCCTAAGAAGACTCATATAGAACTACCTTTTTGTGTATTTTTATACTTTGTGTGTGTGTGCGTGTGTGTATGTTTGTGTGTGTATCTTGGGACTTGAACTCAGGGTTTGGTCCATGGCCCTGAGCTTTTGTACTCAAGGTCAGCACTCTTCCACCTGAGCCACATCTCCATTTCTGTCCTTTTGTTGGCTAACTGGAGGAAAGAGTCTCTTGTACTTTTCTTTCCTGGGCTGGCTTTGAACTGGTAGGATCAGCAGATCTCAACCTTCTATGTAGGTAGGTTTTCAGGGATGAGCCAAATGCACTGGCCTCTTGAAGATACCTAAGCCTTGTAGAACACCGGGATTTTAATTAATACCTCTCAAAACAGGACAAAGTATAGCTTCAGGAACCACAGTCCCTTGCCACACAACCGGACATGGAAGGGTTTCATTCTCAGGATTGGAACATTGTGAAGTTGCTGATCAGTCCTGCTGAACATTTGCCCTCAACTACATATCAGGTGATGGTCTGCTCTTCTTAGATGTGGTGCTGTAGTAGAGGCTCTGAAGTGGTCATTGTTCTTGGCAAATTGGATACAGAGAAGCACCAGAAAATATAAAAAGATAATAAGTTTAAATGTTGCCATGGATTGAAGAAAAATGATTGATAAAAATCTCTCAAGTGACTAGGGATAGAAAAAAATTACCTCAGCCCAATAAAAGATATAGGTGGCAAAACTATTGTCAACATCATACTAAACGGGGAAAACTGAAATTATGAAATTATTTCCTCAAAAGTAAGAATATATAAGCATAGCCAAGGAGATGAAGCATTTCTACAATGAAAACTATTATAATAAAAATAAATAAGTGAAATGCACAAATATATACATACATACTTCTTTTTTATTTTGCCTAGATAGACTTCTCTTTGCAATGGGAATCTAAAGTAATGGCACAACCCTGACTCCCCAGAGTGTGTAGATATGCCATTTACAGGTCAGGAGAGGCATTATAAAGTCTGTGCTGAGGGCCATGTAGAGAAAAGAATGTTAGGATAAAAAGGATCTTTTCGGCCCTTTCCAGGAGAAAAAAATACATTTACGTCTACAAACAATGCCAGTAATGCATCCATTTAGTTGAGGTTTTTCTGATTCTGATGCAAAACTAAGCGGGCTTACACCTTCCAATGCTAGGAAACATTCTTGAATTCAAGCTCACTGAGAATGGAACCTGAGTCCTGCTTCCTCACCATGGTTGGAGCAGCAGGAAGAAGAGAAGCAAGGCTGCAACTATATGTCCAAACTACATGTCAATTCCTAAGGCTGACCCTGCACAGGGAGAGCTGGTTTGGTGACTTAGTTTCCCTGCACTGCCACGGAGAACACAAATATCTTTGGCTGGCAGACAAATTTATGGAGTAGTATTAAAACCAAAGTTCTAGAAGCCGGGAAGTCTAGAGTATCATCTGTTTTAGGCTCTCTTCCTGACTGTTCACTTTCTTGTAATGTCCTCACAAGGACTTTGACACCTGTGACAGAGACAGAGACAGAGCCATCCATTGCCACATCTCAAGACACTGGAACTACAGTACTTGCTACAGTCTCAGGGACCTCACATCAACTCACTCACTGCTACAGACTTCTCCAAGGACACATATCTCAGGGGACATTAATCAATCCTTAAAAAGTGACCTTTGCTGATAAATGAGGAAGAAAATAGAGGCAAAGCCAAGCTTCCAGTCTGTAAATTCCAAAAACACAAGGCTTTCCCCCACAATTCAGCCTGCTGACAGCTCCTTCTGAGTGTCCCTGGACCTAGTCAAATATCCAAGCCTGGAGACTCCTTGTTGATGATAAAACACTCACTCTTGGTGTCCCTAGATTACTAAACTAGATTGTCTCTTTTTATATATGTTGTGTGGTTTCCCTAACATCTAGTGGTATTATTCTAACATTACATTTTCTAAAACCAGGATTCTTTTTTTTATTAATTTTTTATTTTACTTTATTGTAACGATGCTGTACAAAGGGTTACATTTACATGAGTAAGGTAATGAGTACATTTCTTGTCAAGCATTGTTACTCCCTCCTTTGTT